CAGCTGGCACTCAGAGCATTCCGGCGGCTGGTTGGGTGGCCAGGAAGATCCCTTTCTTTTCTCCCTCCCCCCAGGTAGGAGCAGAAGCACTTTCCTCACCCTCTCCACCTCCCAAGCGGGGGAGTGTTCTTAGGCACTGAAGCTGTCCCCATTGAAAAGGGCCTCCCTGGGCCTACCAAAGCCAGGAATGAAACAGGGACCTCTAGGCAGTCACTCTACATTTTCCAGAGGACCCTGGAGTGCTGGACTTTGGCTTTTTCTCTCAGGGGAAGGGCCTGGGAGCCATGAAGATTCAGTGCAAAACGTGCTTGAGCCCTTCTCAGAAGTGCTGTGCAGTGCAGGTTCTGCCAGCAGCTCTCACACCCAGAATCAGAGCCTGGGATCCACAGCCGCTGCTTCCCGGAATGCTGGAGAGGAATGTGAGACCCACGCGCTGCAGGTATTTCAGAACTGGGCAGATGCGCTCTCCAGGAATTTACCATCCCCCTTCTCCACAGGCCAGCATGTCTCCCGAGACCAGCACGGCCTGGGCAAGCCCCGTGAGTCTGGATTTCTGAACACAGGAAATGCCTTTATGTTTGCAAGCTCTTTTGGGGCCCCCCCAGTCTGTGCCTTGCACAGAGGGATTGGTCGGCTAATCACCTGGATGCAGGTGCTGGATTCTGCACAGAGCTCTCTCCAGTCATGGCTCTTTGCCTCCCACTCAGACCTGGATCTTATTCACCCCAAACCCCCAGTGCAATCTGACCTCGGCCCCCTGTAACTTGGATGTTCAGAGGTGTCTGCCAGCCTGTAGGGCAACGGAGGGGGTGGCATGTTAACAGGCGGCAGCAATCAGAGCATTGTGTTGGCACATGGGTGAGAGGACATACACCCCACTGCTCCTGTGCATGGAATTAATTTGTGGCTGCAGAAAGAGCCCCAAGATGCTGTGGCAAAGCTTTGGCATGAGAAATTATTGAGGATCCCTAACTTCTGAGCAGACTGAGTGCCACCCTCCAGGCATCATTGGCCAGAAGGCAGCAGGGCTGCCAGACACCAGCAGCCAATGAGACGCCCAGGATCTGTTTAAAGGGCTGTTCTCCCGCCCCCTTCCAACCCTACAAAAGGTGACACGCAGGTGCCCCCAGCAATCTCCCTGCCAGGCCAGCTGGGTGGATGGGGCTGTAACAGGAGGTGCGGCTGTGTCTGCACCAATCCAATTCAGACAGGTGCCCCCAAGGGACACCCCCCCAGCTCTGCAACAGGTAAGAGCTCTGCTGTCCCTGCCAAGCGCCTCGCTGTCTTCCCTGCCTGCCCCTCGCCGCGCCGTCCCAGGACGAATCCCCCGCAGTTCAACACTGCGCTTGGCACGTGTGAGGAACGGAGGCCCCCTCGGACAGCGCTCTCCCTGCGTGGGCACGGCGCCAAGAGGCTGCTGTTCCCAGCGCCGGGTTAAGCCTGAACGTGGCTCCTTGCCTGACTGGCCCCTGCGGGCTGGTGAGTGCTCACCAAGGGGGCTGGCTCTGTCAGGAGCTGTGGGTCTGATCGGACCCACAGGCGTCAGTGCCTCCAACCTCACTGCATTGTGTTCATTCGTGGGTGGAGGCAGGCGGGGTCTCTCGGATGTTAGGCACTGCGGTGGCTTCATCCCTTTGGGGTGTGGGGGGGAGATTACCTTTGGTACAGGGTCTGTGGCTTGGCTGGGAATGCTCGTCTCCAGTGCTAGCTCTGCCAGCGTCTTGCTGGTGGCCTGCAGAGACTAGCTCTGTGCCTCAGTTTCCCCATGAAAGGCTATGCTTGGCCTTGGGCTGCCCCCCACCCGCCAGGGCAACAATAATCCCTTACTGCAGTGGGTCTGGCTGTATCAGGCTCAGCATCGAATGCCCCAGATTGGCTCCGAGCCGCCAGGCTGCTGTGAGGATGCTGAGTGGCCCAGGAGCTGTTGAGCGAGAGGGGACTTTTTGAGCTGCCCCATCCCACCAGGCGGCTACCGATGGGTCTGGTTGCCCAGGCTCTCTGCCCCACATGTGGCTGCTGTTCCATTCTCAAGCCCAGGCGTCCCGAGCCACCCGCCCCGGTGCCAGTGTGTTCCCTGGGTGCTGGGCAGCGCGCCTGGGCTGTCGGCGCACCACCATAATGAGCAGCACCAGCACCACCTGGCCACTGCAGTAACCAGAGAAGGCCTCCCTGGAGGCCTCCTCAGCACTTTTGTTTTCGGTGTGACAGGTCCCCAGCAAGCCCGGCAGAGCTAGGTGCCAGCGTCACTCATCTCACAGCCGGTGGGTCCTGGCAGGTTGGCAGGCTCTTGGCCTTTGGCTCCGTGCTGGCTGCCTGGCTCCATCCAGCACCCATGGGGCAGGAAGCAGGAGATGCCAGGCCCTGTGCTCAGTGGGAACGTGCTCTGTGCTGCCTCAGTTTCCCATGTGTAACTGCAGATGGTGACACCGGGTTGGAAGGTGCTTTGTGGTCCCCGCTGGCAGGTGCCACAAATACGCCTGTCATTCATGCTGGACCCTTCTCCAGCAAGCTCGGGGGGCTGCAGGGCCTGTATTCCCCTGAACACCCCCACTCCACCTAGGTGCGTGCGGGCAGAGCTGTGCTGCCCCAGTGGTCCGTTCGGGCTGGTGCTGGGTCACAAATCCCGTTCGTGCTGGCTGCGGGGATCATGCGATGTTGCTGTACGAGTGAAGGGCAGCAGGACTGTGCTTCACCCAGGCTGATGCAGGGAGCTAAGTGGGGGTTTCAGAGGCCAGTGGGGAGGAATTTGTCCTGGGAGGTGTTGGCGCTGCCTCATTGTTCCAGGCCCCCTTTGGCCTGCTCATCCCTGCTGTTTGAAGACAGCGGATTAGGCGTCCCTGGGGTGTGACCACTAGAGCTGGAACTGAGCGGCTGGTGCCTGCAGGGGAAACTGCCCAGCCTGCAGCAGGGAGGTGCCCTGCTGAGAGGCAGGTCCCAGAAGGCACCGGGGAGGCGAGCAGTAGCTCTAGGAATGGGTGAAGGCGCCTCTGAACTCCAGCTCTCCACCTGCTGAGGGCAGCAGCTGTGGATGGGGTGTGGGGGCATTACAGGGACCTGCACAGTACCGGGCACGAGAGGGAGGCGCAGGGCCTTGCCTGTTCTCCAGGGCAGGAGGCAGCGGGGGTGGGGGGCTACGGCTGATGTTTCTGCCCTGCCCCGCCCCGCAGTGGGAGTCCCCGGAGGATGCCCGTCCTCGCCTCGCCCGACATCACTGCCCGCTTCAAGGAGAAGTGGCTGCTGCTGCCCCCAGAGGACCAAGGCAATGAGGGCGGGACCACGCCCCTGGACGACAGCCTCACCAGCCTGCAGTGGCTGCAAGACTTCTCCATCGTCACGGTTGATCCGGAGAGGCCACCCGCCCCCAGCCACCCTCTCCACCAGCAGCTCTTTCCAGAGGCCGAGGCCCCGGCCAGCCCACCAGCAGGAGACACCGCAGCCACTGGGATGCCCCTGAGCCTGGGCAAACCCACCTCCGCCGCCACCTCGCCTGGCACCAGCTACCCGCCTGGCCTTGGCACCGCCGAGCAGATCGATTACAGGAGCAACCCTGGGGTGAAGCCCCCTTACTCCTACGCCACCCTCATCTGCATGGCTCTGCAGGCCAGCCAGCAGGCCAAGGTCACCTTGTCAGCCATCTACAGCTGGATTGCGGAGAACTTCTGCTACTACCGGCACGCCGAGCCCAGCTGGCAGGTGAGTCGGCCGCCTGAATAATTAACCACCCTGTGGAGGCGACGGACAATGGAGGCCTGTGTCTGTCACCGCGAGGGCCGGGGCGCCGCAGGCTGATAAACGAGCCGCGGTATTTGATTCCTTCGGCCTCACTCGCCCCCCACGGAGGATGCAGGGGTTGGAGGGGGATGCGCAGGGCCCGTTTTCTCTTTCTCTGAGCAGCTGCTCCTCCACCAGGTGGGGCTGTCTGTGCCCTTGGGGGGCAGGGCTGCCTCAGCCCCCCGCAAGCTGATGGGGATCTTCACTGCGCTTGGCCTGCAGCTGCTTGTCGGGGCAGGACAGGGCACAGTATCTGGGCCTGGAGGCAGAGGGACACCCTGCCCGGTGGAGGGCGCTTCAGCTCCAGGCCGGCCCCCGAAGCAAAGGGATGTGGTGTGGAAAGGCCATAGGGCGTTCCCTGCTTGGGGCACCAGGATCAGACCCAGGCAGGCAACCTGTGTTGGTCGCCCTCTGGGAGCATTTCACCCCGGGCAGGAGGGCTGCAGAGGGACTTAGCTAAGACTGAAGTGGAGATTCTGCCTGTGCATGAGGCCTTCCCCTGGCCTGTAGCACCAGGATCTCCTGTCCCCAGCCCCAAACCCCGGACGTAGTGACTCACACGTGTTGTGCTGCCATGCGGGGGATGGGGCTGAGAGTCAGGCGGCCTGGCTGGTCCCACGTCCCAGAGGAATCACTTAGGCCCAGATCCACAAAGATCTTGAGGTACCTAACTCCCACGATCCTTAACATCCTGTGCCTCAGTTTCCCCCTCTTCCACTGAGGTTAGTGCTGCGCAGCATGTGTCACACGCTGGCTCTCTAGGCACTGGGGAGGGGGGCACTGCTGGCCCCGCCCTGCCGCTGTGTCCTTCATGGGCCTGTCCCTCCTTATCTTGGCTGCAGAACTCCATCCGGCACAACCTGTCCTTGAACAAATGCTTCCGGAAGGTGCCGCGGCAGAAGGACGAGCCGGGCAAGGGGGGCTTCTGGCAGATCGA